GTGGTGGAGGGGTGGGGGGGGGGGGGGCTTGTTTGAATCATGTATAATTCCAGAACTGGTGCCAACCTTAGCTCGATACATTCTCATCTCTCAATAAACAAATCACTGCCAAGAGAGTGTTGTTGAGAGTAAGTTTTTTCAAGAGTCTGACACAGCTTGAGAAACAGTCATCACACTTGCTTGCTTCTGGACAAGTACTGCATAGTCAATTATTGACAGTATCTTACCCCCCACCCCGACTGCCGCCAAGAGATCTTTGGCCGTTAGCCAAGCAGTTAAAAAAAACCCCACGTCTTCTTGATTCCCGGTTAATTTTAATCTCTGATGCGTCCCTTTGCATTTATAAACATCAGTGCAACCTTATCAATAAGCCTACAAAAGATATACTCTTATGACGAAGGAAAAATGCAATGATAAAACCAGTTCGTTACCTGTGCAAACTCCTGGCTTTCTTTGAGTGCTTCTGCTTTGGCTGCCTGCAGCTGTTCTTGAGATTCAGATAAGAGTTGTTCTAACTTAAAAAAGAAAGAAAAGAAAATCGAATATAAACCAACAATGAACTAGAAGAGGGGACTGTCACAACCTTGTACTATGATCTGACCGAAAATAACTCTGCTTGGCACTCCAGTTTTATAGTAAACCCTGAATATGGAGCAGTCACTCATTGAATTCCCCCCCCCAAAGCCCACCCCAATTCCATCCATTGATCCTCCTCCCTCCATAGAGACTCTGCCCACCACTTTAGGACTAGTGTTCTTGCGGTCTTCTGCAGCACCTGCAGACCGAGTGAGAACAACAGATCCGGCAGAGGGAGGCTCGCGGCAGGTTTCACAATGACCTCCCAGAAAGAGACAGAATTTAAGATTTACAGAGAATCCCGATGTCCCCTCCCCAGAGCAGGAACTGGGCAGGGTAGTTATGTAGACTAGACTTCACTGCAGGAGCATGCTCAGATGACTAAACTGCACTCCCAGCTCTCATTCTGGCTCAAACTGTGCATGAAGAAGTACTCTAGTCCTCCAATTGTCTGTAGGAAAGACCATCCCTAGGAAATCTAGGAAAGCAGATCTCTAGTCTCCTCCTGAGAGCCAGGGAGGCGGTCTCCTTCACTCAGGAGGGGCCGGGGCTGAGTGGTAGAACATCTGCTTTGGATGCAGAGGGTTCCAGGTTCCATCCCTGGCATCTCTAGTTAAAAGGATCAGGCAGAAGGTAGGGTTGTCAACTCCATGTTGGGAAATACCTGGAGATTTTCGGGGTGGAGCCTGAGGAGGGCGGGGCCGGGAGAAGGGAGGGACCTCAGTGGGGTATAATGCCATCGAGTCCAACTTCCAAAGTGGTCATTTCCCCCCCAGGAGAACTGATCTCTGTTGCCCGGAGATCAATTATAATCCCGGGAGATCTCCAGACACCACCTGGAGGTTGGCAACCCTAGCTAGAAGGTGATGCGCAAGCCCTATATCTGAGACCCTGGAGAGTTCCTACCAGTCTGAGTAGACAATACTTGGTGGACCAATGCTCTGATTCAACATAAGGCACAGGGGTCGTTTCGTAGAAAAAGAGCTAGGGGAACTCATTAGCATAACTCATTAGCATGTGCCACACCCCCTGACATCACCGGAAGTGTGTCATAAGGCCACACCCCCTGACATCACCGGAAGTGTGTCATAAGGCCACACACCCCGCCCCCA